TAATTATATTATTTTACGTATATATATTATATATATTATTAATTAATATGTATATAATATGTATATTATATATATATATTATACATATATATATATATTATTATATATATATATATATATATATATATATATATATATATATTTTATATTATATATATATATATATATATATATACATTAATATATATATATATATCAAAAGCTATAAGTCACGGTCTTGTGCCTGACATACTTTTCCTTCTAATTTATGTATGATAAAGCATGTCTAACTTGTGATTGCATGTTGGTCCGCTATATTAGGGTGGAGTGACCGCACAACCTTCGTCGTCATGCAGTGTTGCACGGCCATTGACAAATGTAGACTGTGCCAATTCTGAGTACAGAATAACTGCAGACAACCACCTGATTGAATGCTCTCCTGCTGGGCAACCGCTGAACTGTACTTCCCTGTAAGTGTGTCGATTTTTGTAAACAAGCCTTGGTAGATTTTAGCTCGATTGAGTTTTTATGTCCGTTTGGACTTTTTCATAAAGGAGACATGGTGTGAAATACGTTATTGATATTATTGCATCGTATAGACGACCAGTTTCGTTGGTACGATACCACTGTTTGGTTAACGATACCAACTCATACCCACTCTGTACATCTACAACCCTCTCAGAAACTTCTACAAGTTGGATATACACAGTGTTGCCGAGAATGCCTTCGCCAACGTGCCACTACTGGAAGAGTTGTAAGTGATATGATATCACATGCGCGGGTTATCTCATAGCTGTATGCGATATGATACCACATGTTCGTGTTATCTCTGATATGTTTATGTTTATTTAACAGCTGTAAGTGATGTATCATATGTGCATACTCCCTCTGGACACGCATATCGGTGGGTGTACTATACTGAGGAATGTCCAAGCAAGCCCCACTGTACCTCTGCCAGTTCGAACAGTGTCTACACCAGATACTTGGATGGCAACTTGATCAGCGAGCTACCCGAGATACTGTTCCAAGGCATGTCGCAGCTACGAATACTGTAAGTCCAAATGCACACAAACACCGCATACGTGACAATGGATACCTGTACGTGTAATTGAGTGTACGAACCTCTACTGATATAAATATGCTGGGTCGCATAGTTACGCGACACCTTGGCGCATACCAATGGCTGTGCGTGGTATGGGCGGTTGCGTTCAATTGATTCTGTGATAGAATACACATGCACGGACACAGCCGTGACATGTAGGAATAACTTAGGGTTTAGGGTTAAGGGTTTTTCCTAAACCAGTGGGTCTCAAACAGGCGGACGCAGACAATTACATGTAGGAGAAACTTGCAAGTATGTCTCAAACAGACGCCCTTGTATGATCTTGCACTGAGTTTATAGGCAGTATAGCACTAGTTCACATCCAACCACGCTATAAACGTTCGTGCATATCAACACCTACGGTGTATCTCTGGGGTGGTTCGACCTACGCTAACGGATTTTAAGAATACAGTTAATAGTACTTATGCTTATTCTTGCGGATAGTCATCACTGCTTTGTGTCGTATTTCGTGTTGGTATTACTGCTGATTAATGATTGATGCTTCTGTCGTACGGATCGTATTTCTGCTATTTTCATGATTGATACTTCTGTCGTATGGGACGTATTTCTGCTATTTTAATGATTGATCCTTCTGTCGTATGGGTCGTATTTCTGCTGATATTTATGATTGATACTTCTGTCGTATGAGACGTATTCTGCTATTTTAATGATTGATCCTTCTGGCGTACGGGTCGTATTTCTGCTGATATTAATGATTGATGCTTCTGTCGTATGGGTCGTATTTCTGCTTATTTTAACGATTGATCTTTCTGTCGCACGGATCGT